CAATCTGTTGTTTTTGGGGTAAATTTGGCTAAACCACCAGGCCACGATGACGGCATAGAAGGAATTGATGAACATTTCAGTCAAAGTGATCTGAAGGCAACTTTTTATGCCACTAATTTAAGCAATAATTTTGGACAGAGTCGACATTCTTTTCTTCGTGGACGACGTCGTTGTTGTTGAAGTTTGCAACTAACATTTATTTAATTATTTTATTAAATCTGCATTAATGAATGATTTGCACGAACACCAGGTATTCACATGCAGCCATAGTTAAACATGACGAATTCTTGCCATATTTAGTAAGGGTCCAATTGCAGGTTGACAATATGCAAATGCGAAAATTGTTATGCCTTGTCTTCGCCTTGACAATTGTGACACGCAATTATTTGGTGTCATATTTCTAATATGGAAATCTAAAGAAACGGTTATTAACATATTTATATATGTATGCATGTGAGTGTTTGAAAGATTGACCACTACTTAAGAAGCAGCGATCATTTTGTTATTCAACTTAAGGTTTTTGCATATTATTAGCATTTTGTTAACATGTTAGTGATATATCATTTTATTATTAGTAGAAATATAATTATATAAATTGAAGCTCAAAACAAACATACGACTATAAAATCTGTACATCATTATTTTTATTTTTTTAATTGAATGTAACAATCTTTTTTGAACATTGAAAAAATGGAACCGAGTCGTATAACTCACTTATTTGGCTTAAAAACCTTGCTCCGGGGAAATTTTGCACATATACAACCACACAACTATGTTGTCAGATTATTATAGTTATGTGCATCCCATAGAGTTTGTAACGCTGCGGAATATTGGTACTAGATCCACCTTTAAGTATATCGATCATATCATTTTTGATGATGATCGGTTAATATTTAGGGCAAGAAATGGACCGAAAACTTCAATTTTGTCTGTTTTTCTGGTCACTCTGGAGGCCGAACACCAGGAAGGAAATCTGACCAAAGAAAAAGCATGACGGTTTGATGAGGATCGGTCAATATTTATCAGGTCAAATGTACCCAGATTTTGTGAAAAACGACAAAATTTGTATCCTGGGACGTATATATTTACTCCTAAAGGACAAAGGCCCGAGGATGTGGGAGTTATACGTAAATATTTACAGGGATCTACCTATGCTGATATTGATTATTATTGTCATTACTACACTAGAGGACGGAAATGTAGCGCTAATGGCTAGGGAATTTTTCTGGAAGTGCCAGAAAATTATCCGATAATATTTAGGGATGAAATTAACCGAAAACTCTCTAGTCCCACTAGACGCCACAATTACAAGCCGAACATCACAAATTTCCCATGGAGAATTGGATTTGACCATTTAAATACAATGAATTATGGGATAATATTGAGCGGTCAAGTGGACCAAGACTTTTGTTTATTAAATATCAAAATTCAATTTTATGGGAAGACGTGATTCGGAACAGATTCCAGGGAAGAAATGTGTGGTTGTTGAACTCTAGTTCGTCAAGAGAGTGCAAATATCGCAAAATATTACCAATATACATCCGCAGAAAGTAAAAATTCAATGGTAGCTGTGTAAGGTATAATACTGCTTCACTCACTGGCGAAAATGGGATATATTGGTCCACTTTAATGTAGCTTCAAAAACAGTGCACCCTATATTTGATCTTTTGGGAGCTTTGAACACCTTTTATAATCCAATTTTTTCTTACTTTGATGTTTTAGATTCTCATCTTCAAATATTCCTATCAAAAATTATCAACATCGGTCCAAATGTCGGTAATTTTGTACTTTGTATTCTCATTGGGTAGAGTATCTCCATTTGTCATTCTATTTTATTCTATTTTATATTTAATTAGAGTTACCCACATTTGTAAATCGAAATATGTGGGCTTCACATTCACCTTAAATTATTTTTTCTTATAATAAAAATATTCTTTTTTCGATTAATTTTTTAGAACTCTTAAAGGGAAATTTTACTTAAATCAAAACTTTTGACTATGGCGATAATATTTTGTTGGTTATCCCATAATCCAAAATGTGCCTAAATTTTTTTTAACAATTCGAAGTACAAATACAAAAATTCAAATTATAAAGGAACAAATTCTGAAATGATTCGGCCTGCATGTGAAAATGTTGTGGCTTTTATACAAGTATGTTCATATGAAAGGTTTTGTTCTTTAGTTTTGCTTTAAAATAGCACCATAAACTCTTTCATAGAATTTGTTTCATGTGATTAAAAAACTACAACTATATTAACTGTGTATCACTGTTCATGATCAGTTAACATTAATATTTATTAGGCAATTAAAATAATATCACTTACACTTGACCATATTTATTAGAGATTTATAGGTCTTCTTTTTCAACTGCCATGGACAGACAAACGAACTGACACAACATCAAACTACAATGGTTTTTTTATCGAAAACCTTTAAGTACCAATATATCGAACTCATTACACGTTTAAATATCAATCGATTATAGAAATTCTTTAGTAAGAAATGTGGTTTACCATTTGCCATTTTGTTGTTGTTATTATTGTTTCTGTGATAATTAAATCAGAATAAAAAAATTCAAAAATTCAAGACTACAGCACAAAGGAACAACCTGCTGCAGTTGTTAGTTAACGATTCTAATGAATGAATATTTATTAATTTCCGTCCAAGTAACTGACCACCAATATCTGTCCCAAGACAGCCTCTGTGGGCGCTCGAAGCTAATACACCAACAAAAAAACACGTAGCTGTTCAATTCAATTCAACAAACTCCCATAATAATGAATGTTTGAAATGCATAAATAATTGCAGCGAAATGAAAAAATGTGTAAAATGAAGTGCACACTTGCAAATATTGTTGTCGACACACGACACACGTAATGATCGCGATGATGGTGGGGTAGCGAAGCTGGCAGTGGGTTACTAGTCTCAGGAAACACGTTTCACACACGGTGAGATGTGTCTATGGAGAAATGTTGCATAAAAACCACTAACCATGAAATCAGAGAAAAAAAATTAAAACAAAATAAATATGTTTGTATGTCTAGTTGTATTGTTGTTGTATGCATCTGTCAATAAGTCGTTTGTCCAATTGTGTGTTGTGAATTCCGATACTAGTTTGTTGAATTGAAGATCACATGCATGGAGATCGTTAACAACGTTAGTGACAAATCTATTTACGAAGTGAACATATGATGACAAATACTTGATATTCTATCTATGGAAGATACATTTTTTATGTATAGAGAACTTGTAGAAGGTCTTGTAAATATAGAAGACTTACATAATGGCTTCTATTCTCGGAAGACTTATAAAAGTTTTCCTACGTTTGAAGACCTGTAGAATTTTTTTATCTACAGAAGACTTATAGAAGGACTCTCAATTAAGAAATACCTATTGAAGTTTTTATATGTATAAAATACCTATAAAATATATTTTATTGAGAGAAGACAGTCTATGTCCAGAATATATATATATATATATATATAGATCCATATATAGGCGATCTATAGAATTTCTTCTTTATATAGAAAATATACAGAATGTATTCTACGTATAGAAGAATTATTTAAGTCTTTTGCCTATGGAAGCATTTATATTTATAGAATGCCTATGTAAGTTCTTCTGTGTGTAGAAGTCCTGTGGAAGGTTTTCTATTTGTATAAGATCTATTTGCAGAGTATAGAGTTTATTCTGCCTGCGGAAGATCTGTAGGTGATCTTCTTTTTATAGAAGAAATATAATCTGTCTTTTGTCTACAGAAGGACTTGAGGACTTTGAGGATATTCATAAAAGTCCTGTAGAAGTAATTCTGTGTATACAATGTCTATAGAAGATCAACAAGTATAAGATATTCTATAGATCGTTTTCTGCCAAAAGAAGGTTGTCTGAATGTAAAATAAATTAGAAAGTCGTCTATGTATAGAATACATATATTGAAGAAATAATACTTCTTAAAGATTTTACTGTTTACCTGTAAAATGGATTAAATCTATATAAAGTCTTCCGCCTTCAGACTGTATTTTATCTATACAATGCCTTTGTTTCTAGGGGGCCTATGTTTAGAAGAGCCATAGCCAAAATGTTCTTTACGTATAAAATATACAGAAAATATTTTTTTTTATTAAAGGACTATTTTTATATAAATAATATAGTAAGTCTTATATAAAAATATACATACGTAAGACATATTATACCTAGACAATAAAGAAGGCCAATGGTGGGATTTTGAACTGTACCAGATCCAAAGAAGGAATTATTTTCAATATCTATTGATTTTCTATACGTATTTTATACCAATCCAATCTATGATTAATCACGTTTTTTTCTAAACACCGGTGTTTTTAGTTAATTGTCATTTTGATTGACTTTTTTACGCTCACACATCGGTAATGTGACACTTGTTGAAATCAAACATGTCGTTGCAGCAAAAGCCAAACATACAAATAAAATACAAAAAATAATTGGCAATTATTACAACAAATTGAATTATGGTGTCAAGTTCATATCAAATCAAATACAAAATCAAATATTGAAATTGAAATGTGTAATTAATTGTTAGGCTAACATAAATGATAAATGACATAACTAAAACAAAACAACAACAATAAAAAGAGAATATTAAATATGAAACAGCTCAGGTACCTAGTGTGTGTTTCTTTACTAAAACCAAAGGTAATTGAATTTTAATTCTAATGCCATAGAGTGGAACTAATGAGAAGACAATGATGTAAAGCCCACATAAGCATGATAGAAACAAAAGACTTAAGTCACCAAATTGAACATGATAATCTACGTGAGCAAAGACTTATGGAGATTTGTTTTTGTTTCTTATTCTGTTTTGTTTGCAAATTTCTTTCTGCGGTGTAATGCACAAGGAATATGCAAAACACCTTCAACAATTACTCCAACGCCACCATTATTGTTGCATTACCTTCTGATGCATTATTTTAAATGATCTGTTCAAAATGTCACCAAACTAAATGAATTATATGTCAAATTTAGAAAATTGTCACATACATCATTGTTGGTTAGCTGGTTGCTTGCTTCGTCGGTCGACGGTGGTTTGCTGAGTAATATTTGTTGTGGTATTGGTGTTAGGCCCCACAAGGTGTGAAGTAATAATTTTTGCTTAAATAATAAACAAATTATTTACTGATTGTTGTAGTGGTTGTCACAAAAGAGACAATCACGACTCTGACAAAAGACCGAAAATTCAAATCCAAGCTAAATGCCCATGCACCACCTAACACTGTGGAGGTATTATTTTGCCGGTATCTGTCATTCGCGGTGTGTGTTGCTACTGGAGCAATGCTAATGTATCTAGTCATGATTTTACATTTTTAGAATGTACAAATTTATTTATTTTTTCGTTTAAATTTCTTATTACATGTTAAAGATGATGGAATATGTTAATGTACCTGCATTTATAACTTATTTGTTTTTTTTACAGCTTACAGGAATCAGTTACCTGCTAGTCACTTGCTTAGCTACTTTGAGCACAGCGATACGAGTGGATTGGAATACAAATACCGGCCCCATTATACCGCCAACACCTCGCACCACAGTACGACCAATACCGCCATTCCGGGAACCAGCACCAGTTTGGGAGGATCTTAGTAATGACATACCAAATCCGAATCCATATGTGTGAGTATAAGAAAAATAGGAGTATAGAAAACAAAGTGGAAGTTTTCGGGGTATTCGTTCACAGTAATTACAAGGGGCTAATTGCTCTTCTTTTTTGAAGCTTTTAATAGAAGGATATTTTATTCTACTTTTTTCAATACATAAATAGAATTCCAGTTTGTTTCCATCTACAGATAGAAGACCATTAGAAGAATCTCCACATATTATTGCTACTACATACATATTTTAGGCCTAATAACTGACTGTTTTTTTTTTTTTTTTTGGATACCATTAATTATACAAACATGTTTTTGAACACGCCTGCAGACGACGAAAAATATTGACCATATATTTATTCTTGATTTGTGACAAATGCAGGACTTCACGGGGTGTCACGTTAGGGCTGTGCGGACATGATCCGTTGGTTTAAGCCCGCATTGTCATGATACACAATGATGATTATACACATGATATCTTCTCTTGTTCGTTTTTCGAGTTTCTCGGAAGACATTAGACCTGCGTTGCCCAAGCGAAACAATCGATCCATGGTCAGAGGATCATTAGTTTCGAAGTGTTTCATCCTCGAATGACTTTTGTTAGATTTGGATCGTTTTCGAAGTCCCTCATGTTCGATTGCTGTTTGGATTTGTGATCATACCCATAGATTTATATACCCCCACCATAACGTGGAGTATGTATTATCCATCTAACGGTCCATGTTTTGGTATAGCCCCAATATAAACAAAAATTATCAATATCGGTTCACATTTTAGGATAGCTGATTATAACAAACTTCCAAATCCACCAAATAATGGGGTGTACTATTATGTGTCTTTGGAAGTTTGGTCAGGATTTTCAGTAAATTCGGTCATAGTTTAGTATTTTGAATTCTCATTGGTAGAAAATTTACCTACCCACCATAGAATTTATGCTAGTGTAAAAATGCCCAAGGATGTCTCCTTCAAGGCAACAATTCCGACAGTATTTCGGCAAATTCCTACTAGGCAGTTTGAGTACTATACAACCACAAGAGATAAGAGAAAAAATATATTAAACAAGGAAGAAATATTCAGTCCTACAATAAACCCTTTTGAATGTGAAACAACTTTAAATCATCACGACCAAGTGGAGACAAAACCTAAAATGAGCTAACATTTCCTTTCCTTTGTTTTTCCTTTTTTACATTTTTTCCAGTTATGTCTTACCGCCACCCTCACGACCCAAAACGAGACTCAACACCAATGTCAACTACAATACAAAACCCAACAACTACGGAACCTTGCTAAGACCACAACAGACCAGCTACTATCAACAGCAGAGTCAACAAGTTTCCGGATTGGCGCCACAATACATACCCAATGTTGGTACACGTTATGTGGCCGTGGTACCAACGAAATCGAATGGGGCTGCAGGAACTACGACTGTGGCGAATGTACTTTCTTCCAGTGACAATGAAAACGGCTACAAATTCCAGGGCAAATACAATGCCAAAACGAAAAAATACAAAGTCTACGAGAAAGTCAAATATGTGCCAATTAATTATGTAAGAGTCTATAATTATCGTTATTTTTAAGTCACAATCTGTCACAATCAACCTTATCCTGCCTCAGTGATGCTTTTTCCCCTCCCACTTTATTTTGATATAAAAACACAAATTTATGAAATTAGTATTGTTTTAATTCTATCACATCTGGCTTTAAAAGTCTTGGGATGTTCTATTTTAAGAAAAACGAAAACACAAAATAAAACATATATTTTTTTACTTTTTAATTGTTTTTGGTGGTTATTTGCAAAATTCTATTTCTCTCATTTTCCATTGACTAACACACACATACACAAAAATCATTTGTCTTACATTGCATCTTTTAACCATTTTTGTCATTTCTATAGTATACTGAGCTTGAGGAAAATGATAGTGTCAGGGAGGCCACATCGAAGCGTAATGTGCCAGCTGAAATACCCGTTTGGGCTCCTTTGGACGAAGAAGAAACGCCCAATGCGGAATACACTGTTAAATTTGAGAATTTTGTAGCAACGGCCGAAAAACTTATTGCCACAACTCCGCTCACAAATGTCAGCAGCACAAATACTTCGTCAGCAACTTCAACGAAACCCACAACAACTACAGTATCCTCGACCACAACAACAACAAAAGCCCCCACAAAGTCTTCCTTTAAATTCTATTCGAAACATGTTTATCCCAAGGATTCGACGCTGAAGCTCAAGGAAAAACTCAACAAGAAAAGTTGAATTGCCCTATGAGAAGAGAAATAGTTCTAAGTCTACCACCACCCTTACAACTACTACTATAAACACACATGCATGAAAAAGTTCCATTTGTTATTCATTTGTATTTTGTTATTTAAAACTTAACACGATTTAGAATCTCAACAATAACATCACCAACTGCACTTCTTTAGATATACATATTAAATTTTGAATACCAACTTCAACATTTCGAATTAGAGGTTTTCACTTACTCCTATCTACTACTAATACACATACATGTCTACCCATGTTTGCCATATTTTCTTTGGTACATGAAAATTCACAAATTGTAAATAGAGTATAAATCTGTTATTCAAAGAAACACACACAATAATATCGATTTCTTCAAAAACAAAATATTCCTTAAAAGGATTATAAAACAATAAGGTCATGTTATTATTTTTTATACATACATATATAATTTTACATGTAAATAAATATTATCATTTATTTTATATACAAAAAATAATGAAAGAATTGACTTTTATTTAATTCAGATGGTGCTAGGATTTTTTAAAAAGTTACACAGCAAGTAGTTTTCTTAACATAAGATACAGAAAAGTATTTTTTTAATAAAACTCTTCCGAGTTAGTATCAAATTCCCTTAGAACTGTGCGTTATCAATAACGACGTATACGAATTTAGATTAGCTTAAAAACAAAAATACGTAACAAGAAAGGAGAAAAGTCGCAAAAAGGTTGCAAATTGCGACTTTAGCCGCACAACGGTAACCCTGTCATAGACTGGGGGGTATATATTTATCGACAACACCGACTGATATTTATTTCTTTTTTGTTGATGTTTAAAGTTAATGCTGGGCAAGCATGGGAACTGGTGCCCGTGTTTACATGTATCAATGAACTCGTTCTCTGCCTTCTCTTTTTGTAAGACATTTCATATGGCGGTTTCTTCTTTACTCTCCTCTCTTTTTTCACACCTCTATTTAAAGTAAACTCATAGTGTTTAAAAAGCATTAGAAAAACTGAGGTGCCTGACTGAGCTTATGTCCGTTATTGTTTTGTCAATTAAGATAATTATTATCTACAAATTCGTCACATATACGCACACAAATGTTTACGTACCTGTTTCAGTGCTTCTTCGCTTTTGTTGATGTCCTAACACGTCACAGAATAGAAGTTTGAAGATAATTATCTATTCCAAACTGGTTGTTTTCTCATTAACACGTTATGCCAAACAAATTGAACCACAATTTGAATGGAATTTCATCATCTATCTCATAGTCTCGATTACAGTATTGATTTTATAGGAGAGAGATTGTTGTGGAATGTTAACACTGTTAATGAGTACACAAAAATGACAGCTTATCAGTGCTGCCAGTTAAATTTCATGAAAAATCGTCAATTTTTCAGAAAAAAATCGGCATAATCGGCATTTGTATTTTTAAAAATCGGCAGCATATAATTTATAAATAAATGCATATTTTTTGGTTTATAACAAATCAATATTGTTTATTACATTAAAAAAGATAACAAATTCAATTCTGTATAAAAAATAACATAAAAGATTAATTTTTCTACAAAAAATGTAGATTTTTCTAAAATATAGTAATTATTATGTACACTAGTGTGATCTTTCGTGTGCGCACTTTTTATTCGTTTATTTTTAATTTTGCCTTATTCGATGTAAAATGTAAACTAGACAGAGTACAATGCTGACAAAAAATACAGATATCTAAGCCATTGAAAACGGCTGCGGTGAGTCGCCGATAGTTATAATGATTTAAAGCTGCCAATTTTATATTTTTGTACGGTAGCGCCGTATTAAATTAAAAAGTTAGACAATTTGTGTCGATTGTTGAAATATCGGCAATTCTGAGGCAAAAATCGGAAAATCGGCATTTTCCATTTTTAGAGTGAAAAATCGTCAAAATGCCGATAAATCGGCAAATATGGCAGCCCTGCAGCTTATCATAGCTCTCTCTCTCGTTGAATCACGGACAAGAGAATAAGAGTGATTACCAGGGCTACCATATTTGCCGATTTATCGGCATTTTGACGATTTTTCACTCTAAAAATGGAAAATTCCGATTTTCCGATTTTTGCCTCAGAATTGCCGATATTTCAACAATCGACACAAATTGTCTAACTTTTTAATTTAATACGGCGCTACCGTACAAAAATATAAAATTGGCAGCTTTAAATCATTATAACTATCGGCGACTCACCGCAGCCGTTTTCAATGGCTTAGATATCTGCATTTTTTGTCAGCATTGTACTCTGTCTAGTTTACATTTTACATCGAATAAGGCAAATCTTTAGACTCCGAGTTTAGGGAGTTAAATTTTTTGAATTTTGAAAAAATGTTTGAAATTAAAAAGTTTTTGGAAAAAAATTCCGAAATTAAACGTGGGGACTCCAATTTAGCTTTTCCAGTTTTGTCTAAATTTGTACAAAGAATTATGGTTCTTCCACACTCCACAGCAAATGTGGAACGAATTTTTAGTCAGGTAAACCTTAACAAAACTAAAATTAGAAGCTCACTTGAGAATGATTCATTGGAAGAGATTCTTTATTCTAAATATTACCTCAAACTAAATAATTCAAATTGTTTTAATATCAAAATTGATAATGAATTACTAAAAATGTGTAATAAAAATATGTACTAGTTTGTAAGTTATTTTTATGACCTTAATACCACACTGTAGTGAGTTCTTTCAGATTTACGTATAAATCTGAAAGAACTCACTAGTGTACATAATAATTACTATATTTTAGAAAAATCTACATTTTTTGTAGAAAAATGAATCTTTTATTTTTTATACAGAATTGAATTTGTTATCTTTTTTTTAATGTAATAAACAATATTGACCTGTTATAAACCAAAAAAATATGAATTTATTTATAAATTATATGCTGCCGATTTTTAAAAATACAAATGCCGATTATGCCGATTTTTTTCTGAAAAATTGACGATTTTTCATGAAATTTATCTGGCAGCACTGGTGATTACATTCTTTTTGGACAACTAAAAATCTCTTGTGTTTAAAGAATTACCAACAGAATTATGTTGACTTAATGAAGGATTCCTTTTGAAATGATGAATTTACAATTATTTACACTTTATTCTCTAGTTAATAATCAAATATAACTTTAATCACATTGCTCTACAATTAGAACGAACATGCGCGACCGACCACCTGTTGTTAAACTTGACAACTGGTGCAGGGAAAGAAAGCAAAACAAAAGTGAAAAACAGTGTTGTCAACATCGTGGAAACTACATATTTCAGACGATTGTTTAATTTGGTGTTTTTACGCATTTTTTAATTACAATGGAACTTTTGCTTGTCGTATTTATCTGATTTTATTACGAAAATTAAATGGAACAATTGCACTGATATTAATTTAATAAATTGAATTAATATTAAATAATGACATTAAAAAAAAGAAATAAATTATGGAGGTGATTAGAACATTTGTTCAAGTATGAAACAAGTTATGTAAAATATTACTATTTGGAAAAGATGGAATCGAATTTATTGATTGGGTTATATTGCAGTTTTCAAAAAACCATTTCAAAGTGAAAAATCTTGTGGAAGTACGCGATTTAAATACAGTACAGGTCAAGCGCGGTTATAACTATTGTTTAGGGACCAAGCTTCAGTTTGTAATGGAGAAATTTTTTTAAATTAAAGGTAAGGTAAAATAAGTGCTTATCAGACAAATATATTGTTAAATAATTCAATTTGTTAAAAAACGTACTTCATTAAATTAAATGCGAGAGTGCATTCATTAAAAATAGCATAAAACAGAAATTCGTTGTAAATATTACCAGCCTTAGCCTTAAATTTTGTGATGTCTGTCATCGATGTTTGCACTGAGAGACAAAGTCGTGTGGAAAATTTTTATTGGACGAAAAAAATCGGCATAGGTCGATATACCGTGATGGTTTTTTGCTGGTGACACCATTTAACATGAAGTGATTGATTTATAGCTATTGTATTTATTTATTTATTATTATTATTTTTTTTGAGATTATATTTATGCAGTAAAATCAGAAGAGGATTTTTTGCACAATTTATTTTTTTTATCCATCAATACGGAACTGTGGAGCGAGCAAACAAAAAGAACTATGAAAGAGACAGATTCTAATAAACTTTAACCGTGCATCTAAAGTTTTTTTTGTATTTTTACAGATGTTTTGGTAACATTTCCATGCTATTTTGTGTATAAAACTTTTAAGTTTTTTAAGACAGTATTATTAAAAAGTAGTTAATTGCAATGTATATTTTAAAAATATAATGTTTTTAGAAGATTGATAGAAAAAAACTATAGAAAGTACCTTCGGGGTACATTCGGCATTTAAGTTCGGCCAAATACATATTGTGAGATATAATTTCCTTAAAATATTTTTTAGTTTTTCTTTAAAAATATTCCTTTAATATCGTTCGAAATTACATATAATTACCAAGCGTACTTGTCTTGACGAAAAAGCCATTTCTGACGGTGAGTGCGCTAGAAAATATAGGCATAAGAGTCAAACATTGATTTGCATATTAAAACAAAATTGAACATGTAGAGGATCTGAATTTCAACCAGACTGATAGCGGTGATAATTACCTGGCTATGACAGTGGTGTCGAATTTGCCCCAGCAAATGCCGAAGCTACTCCGGGTAGGGGCACATTGGGTGAATTTGACTTTTTTTTACAAAACTGTAAAAATGTTTAACATATACTAATTTATTATATGTTTTTGGCACAAGTTTTTATAATTAAGTATCAGACAACAATAACCAGCCATAACGTTTTTATATCTGTTAAATAAGTGTTAAGATATAGAGCCGAATGCGCCCCAGTCTCCCCTACTTTGTACATTTAGTAAATCTAAACCGTTGTTACGCTCTATTAGAAAATCTAAGTAAAAATTTCGATGTTCTAGGCCTATCCCATATCAATACTACTATATTTAGTATTTTGGAGTACCCTTTTCAGGATTTTACCGTTGATGATTGGCAGCAATGT